AACAACCCACAGCGTTGTGTTTCGCCGTGTGAGTGAGGTTACCGGAGGCCCAATCCCTCCCCCTCCCCTATCCTTTCCCGATCCTTATATCTGCAACCCCTATCCCCAAAAGGCCGGCAACGCACTCGTAACTCTTTTGGTGTTGCGGGTGTCCATGGGCGACGCTGATTGCTTAACATCAGGTAATCCGTCTGCTCGTTTGCCGACTTATACCATAAAAAAACTTAATAAAATGAAACAAGAATGCCACGGTTCTTCGTGCGCGCAAGATGTGGAACGGATTTGTTTTGAGTTAGATACAGTATGACACGAGCGCATACCGAAAGGGATCTCGTCCCACCTAGGGCTAGAGAAGTCATAGCGTGATTGTGTTCTTAAATAAGGTTTGTCTTTAATCAGTAATGTCAGCAACAGTCTTTTTACTACACTTTTATTACCAGCTTAAACTGAATTATTCCGATCCTGATTATTCTTCTCTATCATGCTTAGATTACGATTTAAAAAAAAAATCTGTCTTTAACTTTGACCCAACTTAAAGTAAGTCTAAATGCGATCGATTTATTTATTGAAGATAATTGTAATAAATTATCAGGTTATAAAAGGAACGATCCATGGGATCAGGTTTTGGATGACATTCTTCCAACTTCTCCATGTTCTTAGCTCACTATCTAACCTGCGTCTGGGTTAAGATTTCTGGTCACCTGTTGAATAATAACTACCGACTATTCACGATCTCAAGACAAAAAAGATAATAAAAGAATGGAGAGTAATAAAAAAAAAATGTCCACAACAAAGTACCTAGGTACTTACTTACTTGGCTACATTGACCTTTTAAAATGTATATACATATATACCTACTGACAATTTTACAATACAACATTATTATTTAACAGTACATAAAGCAAACAAAATAATATATAATACTTAATAGACACATAACAATTTAATGCACGAATTTATTCATTCATTATTGTACAACAGCAAAGTGAATTTACATAATTTACAATTGACAAGGCTAAATGGTTATTTACTATTCTACTCACACAGTTTGGCTAGAGCGAGTACTCGATACAGAATACATGATATATAATTTAAATACGCGATTAGATAACTTGTAGCTTAATGTACCAGGCTCTTGATGTTTATTCGATATCAATGTAAGGGCATTGCTACCTTTTTATCTACTACTAGATACTCTCGCACGTTTTCACCCGCTGCTCGGCTCCTTTTAATTGTAGCGTGATGATTTATAGCTTATAGCACTCAGGAACATTGTAGCTATCTATCAGTGAAAGAATTTTGGAAAATTAAAAAGATTACCCCCTACATAGAAACTTACAAACATACAAACTTACAAACTTACTTTACCTCTTTATAATGTGATATAATATAGAAGAAGCTAGAAGCGCGATTGTTAAGTTTGAAGGGTCTGATTGGATACCTAAGTTGAAAAATCGTTAACCGTATTACTTAGAGGTATTTATCTAACGCAGTCTTATGGATACATACCTAATTATGTTTACTCGTCTATTGATTTAAAATGTTTTGTGATTACACGAATCGGTTTTTAGTTCCTTTATAGTGAGCGGTATTCTAATGAATTATAGGAATTCACTTAAGTTACCTAACATTCTTTTATTTTTTTTCTGGCAAATTTTTTTTTGGTTACCTACCTATCTGACTGTCAATTATTATTTTTTATACCATACAATCAGCCCTGTTGCTTACCTAGTCTATACTAAATCAGTTTATTACTACTAAACAATCAGAGAATATGGAATATTTATTTTGTTCTGCCCATCATCAGACTGTAAATGATCACTCATTTTAAATAAAATAACGTTTATTTCGGACAACTAATAAATCCATAGAGGTTAGTAAAAAAATTAAAAAAAAAACTATGTTAGTACCTATTTTTTAACAAGACTACTAATGGCAGTACATCTTCGCACAATAGCATGTTGCCTTTGCTTACACGGTAAAGATTGGAATATGAATCGATACGATATGTTCTTCTTCGCCTTATATCAGTGATGTCTAAGGAATCGATCTATATAATAATGTAAAAAGTCACGCTATTAATTGCTAAGATTCGTACCAAGAACGCATGAGAAGCGAGTATCTTTATCTCTGGGTCACCACAACGCCTTATACTCCGCACATAGCAATAATCATCCTATTGCACAACAAAAACTCAACTCTAATTAGCTTTGTTTAAGACATAATATTGTTTTTACGTACCGTCAAGCGCAGTAGGTCCCCTATAAGATGGACAGACAACAACGAAAAACAAAGACGTGACGAACCGCTGAACACAGGTCACTTCTAACCGGTCTATCTGGAAGTCTGGTTATAGGCGTATATTTAAGAGCGTGTCTTATATTTCTGTAGTTAATTAATAATAATTATGTTTAACTTTGAAAAGCAATTTAATAGTTTTTATGACATGGGTCGGGAAACTACTACAAAATTTACTACAATTGCCTTACGGCCTCTTGTGGGTTGTTCTGGATTCGAAGATAGGGGATTTGACGACTGAAGATGGAGAGGGGGTAAGGACTGGGCCACCAGTAACCTCAATCACATGACGAAACACGACGTAAGTGTTACTTCACGCCGGTATTCTGCGAGGCTATGATATTACTCCGGTTAAGCCTAAGGTTAAGGTTTACCCATTATATATTAGATAGTGGCGAACCATGGCTCTCTCACACTTAAATATAATAGTTTTTAATATATTCTAGCAGCACAAAGATGTATAATTTTCCTTCAAAACTTAGAAAATACAAAACACCAAAAGAAACATTACAAAGAATAAGAATACACTTTAAGAAAAACAATTTCACATTCTCTTAGCTCTCATTTAGCTCTCGGAAAACTTGTAAAAGAATTTTATTGCCGTAACAATTTCATCAGGCGCTTATTTTACGCGAGAAAACTATACTATGTTCGCTCGAAAAAGAAAACAAAGCTTTATTTATTTTTCAACAACAGTTTTTATTTATTTATAAAATATTTGTATTATAATCATCTTTCGTTTGTTAATTTACATTTATTTCCTTACTATTAAATTATTTTCTATAAATTAATTATTGTCTATGTAGGTATTTATATCACATTCGCTGCAAATACGTTAGGAAATCGATTAAATCTATTCTGGTGTAAATTATTCTAAATATGAATATAGGACTAATTATTAATAATTAATAATATAATGATATAAGTAATTTGTTTCTGTGTAATATAATTATCTGTTATAATGGTACATTTTATAAGTAATATTTATCACAAATCTTTAATTATTATCATGTAATATAATGTTTAATATTAAAATAGAAAATAATTTATTATTTAACGACGATATTGATTCGAAAACACAATTAATATTACGGTATTATTTGGACAGCTGGCTAAAGGTACATTCTTAATAATTATTAAAAATAATTCTGATTTAAAATATGTATTTATATAAATATAGTAATAAATTCTGGTCAAATATAATATTATTTCATATTTTCAGGTTTCTACTTGAATACAAGGATGGCACAAAAACAATATCATTATTTTTAAAAGGTACAGAATACATTGTTTTATAGTTAACAAAAACTTATCCTAACAAAAAGTCAAGTTACTCGTATTTATACAGCAGCTTAGGTAAATACAAACTTGATACTCATTAGTTTTTATTTATAACATACAATGGCATACCATCATCTCAGAAAACTGTACTAATCTATACTTATAGAAGGCATTTCATCCTAGTGTGAACCTATTTGGCAATCAATAGTTTATGACGAAAAAAACTGAAAGTATGTATTTAAAAATAAATAATTTTTGGAGACAAAATGTGTAATACATTTTGTCTCCAAAAATTATTTATTTTAAAATACATACTTTCACTAGGTGTATAATGGATAACTTGAATTATTTTCATTAAATTATCTGTAGATTTCAAATATACACCTAATTGGCAAATACTTCATTGAATATAAGATTTGTTCCTCTTTTATAGCGTAACTAAAATGATATTCAAAACAAGAATAAAAATCATAAAATTAACTGCGCACTGGAAAAATACCTAGCTTAAATAAAAATGCTTTGGAAAAGCAATTTTGAACCCAATCGTCGTTCAATTAAAATTGCCATTCCAATTGACTATTTAAGTCGTGCCGCAATTAAAATTCTAGGCCAAGTTCTCTCAATAACGTGTAGTGATGGTCCGGAATGGTAAAGTTTCTCACCCTTCGGGCGTTATTGAGTGACACCCCTAAATGGACCAAGTTCCTATTCATTTCTCAATTAATATCACCTGACGCCCTAACTGAATGGCATTTAAGCGAAAGTCATACGATTGCATAGAAAATTTCAATGAATTACTGACATTTGGTCAATAGGGATGACCAATCCTACTAATAAAATAAATGTTAAAACTTGGGAGAATGGGGAGAATGTTTGGATGTATCTTTATTATTCTTTCAAGCACAATGGCCGGGAATTTGTTATGTTGATAGGTAATAACACATAGGTTTTTATAAACATATCACGCGAGTGTAGGTACCGGGGGCAGAAGCTAGTTGAAATATTTTACTATCACACTGGTAGATAATCTTCATTAAATCATTAGACTCGTACCTATCTTACGGAAAGAAATACTTTTACATGTATTTATTTTCATTGTCTAACTGATGAATTAAACTTTAGTTTAATTTATACTCCCTTCACCACCCTTATTATGTCAAACGCAGCCATATTAGCTTTTAAATGCCATTTGTTAGGGAAGTTGAATTACTTAAATAAAAACCTAACTTATCACATTAGTCACATAATAATACTTACATTAATTTTAAATTCTTTACTGATAATCATAGACTGTTGGATGCAGGGGCCAGCTATTTATGCAGTGGTGACTGAAGTCATCATTAAATAAATGATGACTAATGTTCAAAGTTCAAAGGTATGCCCCTACTAAGTGACACACCACATATTATATCAATCCAACCTTTGATTAGAACTTCTAAAATAAATCAATAAGTTTATCACAACACATACGAATTTACTTCGACGAGTTCTTAGCCTCAATCTGTTTGTTTTTCTCCTTGTCTTGATTGGCCATCTTTAGCTGTCCATGCTTCCAGTCTTCGGGATAACCGTATTGTCTTACGTCATCCCACCATTGCTGTTTGCCATCCGCCCAGATGATGTAGACCACGTTTGTGCCAACCAGGACGGCGAAGCAAACCCAGAAGGCTATCCGCCATTGGGCCAATGTTGACTGGAAATAATAATAATAATTTGAAGTTAATTTACATGAGATTAAGGTTCACAATGCTATAATAAATATACTTGAATTCATGTGGTAACATCAACTTTTATCATTAGATAACTATTTAATTTATTGAAAACAACTGTAGATCACCGCAACATACACGTTGCTTAAGAGTCTCGTTATGTTAATTTTTTTTTTTTTAATGTTATAAGTCGGCAAACGAGCAGACGGATTACCTGATGGTAAGTAATCAACGCCGCCCATGGACACCCACAACAGAGGAGTTACGAGTGCGTTGCCGACCTTTTAGGGATTAGGGATTTGGAGAATTGAAACTAGTAGAGCCTTTCTCGGTTAATTCATATCAGATAATCACTATTTTTAATTAATTGAGTATAACGTGAGATATCACGAGAATGACTAGATATACATAACAAATATGAGAATTCACATAGAAAAGTGAAAAAAATAATCTATTTGGATGTTACGGAGCAATTGGTGTACAAATTGTCGGAGCCATATAAGTGTTCTTTTTTCATATTTCTTTGACACTGGGATTTAAAGTGGATAACAATATATTTTAACGTGTCATATAGCAGCAGTTTTCGACTTTAATAGAAAACCATACGGTACAACCGTATGGTTTTCTAAAACAAAATACTGGACAAAAAGCTTATTATTATATTATATACCTACACCCGTAATATAAGTTTTAGATGGTACGATAATACATCAATAACTTAATCCATTTAATACCCGCTAATTGATTTCATTCGATCTTTAAATTCCATTTGAACTGAATAAAGTACAACATTGAAACAAACTCAAAGACATGGAGTTCCCATTAAAGCCGCAAGCTAAAGTCTTGGCGAGACTTGTCACTGAGTCGAGAACATTTTATTAATAAAGGCCTATCTCTTACGAAGTTTTCAAAGAAGGCTTCATTGCAAATTATGTAGCTCGAGTTTATCGGTTCATTTGAGTTCGTGAATCGAGTACTGAAAGTTTTATTGATTATTAACAGGGAAGTTTTGTACTTTTTTATTAATAATACAGATAAAACGTTAAATACAAAATTCCTAGGTCCTAATTGAATGCGCAGTCATGAACATTTTATATTTTACAGCTAAAAGGATTTTTTTTTAAGACTGCTAGGGTCCATTCTGTTTTCGTAAATAAATAGGTAGACATAATAAAAGTAACCCCTAATAATATAATGTTGTAAAGAAAGTTAAATCGAAAATAGGGTCTTTTATAACTAAATTCTTGAGATTTATCCTAAATAACTTGATCATAAATGTTCTCACAAAGGATTTGTCGGGATCCACTTATAACACCTACTTAAAATGTATTTCTTTTACAAAAGAGTGTTACAAAGAACGCTATTATTGTGACGAAATCGTTTGATTTATACAAAGCGAAGCTTTAAATTTAAAAGTATATAATATTTTTGTTTATTATAACTGGCAGGTTTTTGACAATTTAATATTTTATTAATTTGAATAAATTCTTTCCCCCTTATTACAAAACAAGATTTATCTTTAGTCCGGGTTTAAACCATTGAGTCGGGTTTTGAATTTTGAATCTTATTGTCATCTACCTTCAATTCGAAATACAAAAACTGGGTCAATGGTTTAGTCCTAGACTAAAGTAAAACCTTGTTTTGTAATAAGGCCGTATTTAATTTTCTTAATTTCATAATAAAAATATAATATTCCAAAGAGAAACAGACAAAGGAATACTTGTATATGATTATGAATAATAAGATATTTGCATTCTTTATATCGTTGTTACAATGTATGTACCTACTTATTTAAAGTAATTTTTCATTACTTGCAATAGTGACTCAAATAAGGAATAGGTTTTTAAAGAATTAAATCTATTACTGAGTGATGAAGCAATGAAAATATCTATGATAAGTATTATAGGTTAAACGATGTTTTCAAACCCTACCGATATTTTCTGGGACAATAAATACTTATACTACTTCTATATCTTTAACTTTTTCGTCCTTCATAATTTACTAGAAATAATTTTAACTGATTTCAAACAGAGGAGGAGGTTTTATCACAATATTTTTCCAATTGACTCCATATACGCCCTTGTATTTATACATATATTAAATCACACGAAAAATTAACTAAGCACTTAATGTTTTGAAGTCTTTTACAATAATATGTTTCATACTTACATCAGGTGTTAGCAGCCCGATTAAATATGGTGTAATAATCCCAGATATGGTGGAAGTTCCGTTGATCATTGCAGTAAGGGAGCCAGCGTAGTTCGGTGCCAGATCCAACGCGTTGACCTATAGACAGAAGGTCAATATTAAGCTAGAGTACTGCCAAATAGCTTTAACGTCAGCACATGAAAATAAATGGGCCGACGTGGGTTTGGCCTTGGGAACGGAAGAAATTGGCAATGTTGGTGATCGTTAGCCGATAAAGTATGTTTTAAATTACTTTTCATTGGAATATGTTTGTTTTGTTATTTTAATTATTTAACTTATACTTGTGATGTCCATGTGGCCTAAATAATTAGTAGACTGAAACAGCATATTGTATGTATCAAATTTTCTGAGAACTGAAGACCGTTGTTCACGTCCAAATGGTACTACTCTACATAGCGTGTTCACTGCCCTCTATCTCAAAAACGATTCAACGTATAAAAAACTTTTGAATCAAAAGCCGTAGAGAATTTTATCCTATATAATATTTCATGATCCCAACCCCAACCCTATCGAGAGATGATCTCCGGCCACCGTAAGCGCGGGTCTGCGAGTAAGGGCAGCTCGCCGCTCGACCAGAACCAGGCCCGAGCGTACGGCGCACAGCGTTCCGCGCGCGCCTCTAAGATCCAATTGACCACCACAGACAGGGCCCTATAGGGCTGATGTTCAGCCGGGGTTGCGGGGTAAGTGCAATGAGGCACCGCGACCTCGGCCCAGAGCAGGAGAAGGAACAGGGGGGTTTTTAGTCAGTAAAAGTCTGACACTCCCTCCCGCCCGGCCTTGGGCGGGAGAAGTAATTTGAAGATTTTCCCCTAACAAAAAAAAAAAAAACCCAACCCTATCCCAAAATGTAAAAAAAAATGTTGGACGCACCTTATAGTATGTAGGTTTTGAAACAAGTTTAAGGATGTCCAAATAAAACTTTATACAAATATAGAGCCTGGTGTTTGGTATCTCAAATTCCGAGATTCTTACCGTATTTTGACTAAGATGACTTTACTATAACATATTCAGTAGTCAACGAAAACCTCTTCACAGTATATAAATTAACAAAGTTAACGTCTACGACTTTATCTAAATTCTTATAAAGACTTGCGTCAACAGATATAATCAAAGGTACACGTTTTTATACGCGACCTCTATAAGTCGGAATTTCATCAAAATTCAGGTCGCATCCTTGCTTCTCAAGCAATAAAGAAGTACTGACATCTGCAGACTAGAGGACGTCGTTCCAAAAGTCTTTTAACCGGAATAATTAAAGAATAAATAAGTAGGTTACCCATTTTGTCTAAAAGAGGGCAAACCTTCTTTGTATGTTGGCCAGAAACTAAAATTATGCTTGTAATTCAGCGATTTTGTACAATTACAAACACAAATGATATTCAGAACCTATTATTCCGCTTAATAAATTAACATTTCCTAACATATGAATCGAAAGACACTAAAACAACAAAACCTTTAAACCCTTAAAATCTCCATATCAAAATTATGGAAAATAAATCGTTCCCAAGTGTGCCATAAACTACACTAGCGCCATAAACGCAATGTTAATCCACAAACATTGGAAAATTACTATATTACCTTCATTCCGCTGTAGAATCCTCCCATGAGAGCCATGGAGGCTATGAAATAAGCGACGGCGGCGAACCGATCACAGCCCGCATATGACGCCAATATAATACATATCGCCGGTCCGGTAGCAGCTGAAACAAAATGACAGGCAACTTATGAAACGTCAGTCTCGTTTCGGCATTCGTACGAGGTGCCCGCGCTCATTAGTTAATTAGTTTGTTTACGTCGAAACTTGCGGCGTTCCACGTTGCGCTGTTGACCACATGTGTGTACCGATAGGTTATACATTCGGACACCGGTCGCGGCAATAACAGCAATGGAGGAGGTCATTACCGAACATGAGACATTAAATACAGTTATCGAGATGAGTGACCCGAGTGGATTAATGGAGAAAGAAATGGAAGACGAGGAACAATACCAACCGGAAAAATTACAGGAAGAGTGCGCAATTGATGAAGATCGTAGGCCAATTAAAAGAAATCGATCGGAAGATGAAGAGGGGTGGATAGAGGTCAGAGGGAGCAAAGGCAAGAAATACAAAAGTGAAACAATTGAAATTTATATTTCATCTCAAGATAAAATGCCGAAACAGTTTGCATTGGCCAAGTTGTTTAAAGAAGAAGGAATAAAAGACATTGAAAAGATTAGGTATATTAACCCATACAAGATTAGAGTAGATATGAAGAACGAGGATAGTGTGGAGATACTTGAAAAAAGTAGGAAGATAATCGAAAATAACTGGAGAATTCAGAGAGCCATGGAAGTAAATTTCTCTTATGGTGTCATCAGAGACATTGACATAGATCTGACAGAGGATGAAATGCTGAAGCGTATTGAATGTACGGAACCAGCACAACTGATATCCGTCCAAAGACTCATGCGCAGAAATTCAGACGGAGAGGGTTGGAAGCCTAGTGAATCAGTGCGCCTTTGTTTTAAGGGCTCATTCCGGCCGGCAACTATTTCTGTAGATGGATTGCGCATACGAGTCGAGCAGTACATCTTTCCGGTAACCCAATGCTCACGCTGTTGGAAGCTGGGTCATACTACACAAAGATGCCCATCAACAAAGATCATATGCCCAAAATGTAGTGGTAATCACAATAACTGTGAGACGACTTTATTTAAATGCCCCAATTGTAGCGGACAGCATATGGCTTTAGTACGTTCTTGTCCGTCATATTTAAAAGAAAAGAGATTAAGAGAGATAATGGCTGAATACAATTGCACATATCGGCGTGCACTGACCATGTATGTTCCAGTTAAGGAAACTAATCCAGTAGATAGTGCCACTACAAAAACAGAACAAAAAGACTGGTCGAATTCTCAGGCTGGAAAGTTATCGTTTTCGGCCGTCGTACAAAAACCCCACGTAGAAGTTACAACGCAGCCACCTGAGAAGGACACTCAATATAATACTGCCAAGAAACCACAAACTAAGCCCCACAAACCAAAACAAACCGAAAAACCAGTTGAGTACGAGACGTGGATAGAAGTTGATGCGATGGATAGCCAAGAAATTGCTGAGGAAGATGAAAGTAAGAAGACGAGAGAAGTTCAGTTCAATGAGCTTATAAATAGGTTGAAAGAGATTGTATTTTTGAAAGGAGAAACAATACAACAAAAAATACATAGTTGTATTAAGTGCTGTGTTAAATGGGTAATTTTAGTACTAGTTGAAAATATCTCGGACTGGCCAATACTTAAACTAATTCTTGATTATTTCGGTTGTAATGGATAATAGTAACATCATAAAACTTAACATTATTCAATGGAATGCACAAAGTGTTCGCCCTAAGTCATTAGCCTTAGAACAATTGTTATCACAAGAGAAAATTCACATCGCAGCACTGAGTGAAACATGGCTGGAACCAGAGAGTAATCTTAATATAAACAACTACAAAATATTTCGTAAAGACAGGCACGATTCGTACGGTGGGGTGGCGCTTCTGATACACAGGTCTGTAGAAGCTTCTTTACATAGTTTTAGCAGTAGTAACCCTGGTATGGAAGTGTTAATGGTTAAACTACACAATTGTCAATTTATTGAATATGTATTTTCGATATATTGTGCGCCGTCAGTTCATACCGATCAGTTGGACTGGGAGCATCTATTTAGCTGCGTAGATAAAAAAACTCTAATCTTAGGCGATTTGAATGCTCACCACACGAACTGGTCGTACAAAACAGACACGAGAGGTTCACAAATACACGACGCCCTCTTGGAAAGCAATTTTGTCATTTTAAACGATGCTACCAGCTACACGCGGGTTAAATTAGTCAACAATGTGCTTCAGACATCTTCTCCAGATATCACGTTAGCTACACAGGACATCGCGATAAGGTTGAACTGGGCTACTACTAACGAAAACTTAGGCAGCGATCATCTTATTATTAGGGTGAGTACGCACTTGGATAGGAATATTGATTACATAACTTTGCGACGTAATTTTAAAAAGGCAGATTGGAGCTCATACCGAAATTTGTTAGAAAACCTGTTTGATAGTTTTTTGATGTGTGAGGGGGACCCTCAAAAATCATATGATACGTTTATAAGTTACATAAACATAGCAGCAGACCGTTTTATACCATTCTACAAAATTAACCGTAATCCAAGCAATCAGTTTACACCTAAACCTTATTGGAACACATCACTGTCCAAGTGCGTAGCTGAAAGACGTTTAGCACTTTCGAATTTCCGACGCAACCCTAACCCTAATAATTTAATCGAATTACAAGACAAAATAAGAATATCTCAAAAATTAATTCGTCAGGCTCGGGACAAGTCTTGGCAGGAATTTTGTTCTACCTTAGATGGTAAAATCACACAAAGCCAAATGTGGCGTAAATTGAGATGGCTAAAGGGTTATAACGTACCACGCGCCTACGTCGACAAAGAAAAGGCAAAAGATCTATTGTGTAGTTTGACACCCGACTATGCTTGTCCCAATGACCCGGTATTTGCAATAAATAAAACGAATCTGGATCTTTTAATAACCAGGCAGGAATTAGATAGTTGTATTCGCCGGAAGGACACGTCGCCTGGCAGCGACGGAATATCATACTCAATGATTTACAATTTACCTAACAATGCGAAAAATATATTGTTAAAATTGTACAACGAATTCTACACACTAAGCTTTGTCCCTAAGCAATGGAAAGATATCACTATAGTTCCAATATCAAAACCAAATCGCAATCCCCAAGCGCCTGGATCTCTGCGGCCTATAGCAATGATATCGTGCGTGTGTAAAACATTCCACAATATTTTAAATAAACGCCTTGAGTGGTACATTGAAAAGAAGAATCTATTGTCTAGCAAAACAACTGGTTTTCGAAAACATCGCTCAACTTTAGACAATCTAACAAACTTGGTGTCAACAATCCAAACCGGTTTTTCTCATAACCAAATGTGTATAGCCGTCTTTTTAGATATTGATAATGCATACAATAACGTCGATATAAAAAGTTTAGTAAATATTATGCAACATTTAGGAGTTAGTTTTTTAATATGTAGGTATCTGTGGAATTTTCTTAAAGAAAGATGTTTAAGATTGCAAGTCGATTCGGTTTCAAGTTGTAGATACACTTGTCGCGGCTTGGCTCAAGGTGACCCTCTATCCCCACTACTTTTTAATTTAGCTACCATAGAAATTTGCAATAGTATCCATAATGTCCGTATTTCCCAATATGCGGACGATTTTACAATTTATTTGAATTGTGACACCAAGCGAGAAGGAACGATGCAAATACAGGAAGCTATTAACAAATTCGTTACCTTACTTTTCAAAATTGGGTTATATGTCTCATCCACCAAAAGCAAAATATGTGTTTTCAAAAGAGGTTATCGCAGAGAATTTGTTGATATATCTATAAACGGGATAAATTTGGAAGTCGTGGACAACGTGAAATATTTGGGACTGTGGTTAGACAGATCCTTACGCTGGGCTAAGCACATAAATGAATTGAGAGCTAAAAGTCTGAGATTATTAAATGTATTTAAAATCGTGGCAGGTGCGGGCTGGGGAATGCATCCGATTGTATTGAGACGAGTGTATATAGCTATGTTACGAAGTAAGTTGGATTATGCTAGCGCACTATATGACAATAGTTGTAAGACACATTTGGCAAAACTGGACAGAATACAAAACCTATGCATGCGTATAATCGGGGGATTCGTTAAAAGTACTGCAATACATATCATGGAATGTGAGCTTCACCTTCAACCACTGTGTATCCGCAGGTATTATCTTGCTGGCAAGTTTTGGTTTAGATGCAAATCGTTTACGGGCAATGAAATTCTTCCCATTTTAGAACAGTTGAGTCATGATATTGGTAATTCATATTGGAGATGTAAGAAAAAACCACTTTTAATTTTAATTCACGAAAACTATAAAAACACTTTAGTTTATTCTACGACATTATTAGAATGCTATTCGCTAGACATATGGGTTAGTAGTATAGATCTCGCTTCAGTACTAGAACCAGCCATTAAGAATATTTGTAAACCGAAGCACCAATATAAACCATGGGAATTGCAACTGAGTTGTAACGAATTCCTGACTAAAACATATTCGGATTTCTATAGACTGTACACAGATGGTTCAAAGAACCCAGGTGGCAGAAGTGGGGTGGCGCTATATGATCCTCAAACAAATAGCTCGATCCAATTGACGGTCAACACTAACATCTCCATTATGCATACTGAGCTGTTAGCCATAGCAGAGGCCATTTCCTATGTTGATTCCTTCATGACTGGCAATTATGTAATTTTCACAGATTCCAAAAGTGCTATTTACCACCTGGCTCGATGCACCTCGAATTTTCGAGGCCTACCGATAGCCTATGAAATTTTAAAAATGCTCCGTAAAGTCAGTATTGCAAACAAATTAATAAAAATCCAATGGATTCCCTCTCATGTGGGAATAACGGGAAATGAGGAAGCTGACCGACTGTCCAGGGAAGCTAGTTTTGATGGAATACCACTCACCTGCTTACCCGTCTTTACTGAATGTTTGTATTTGGTCAGAGATAAGTGTACAGAGTTTTGGAGGGAGCATTTTGACGAGAGATCATTATCTAAGGGCATCTGGTACAAAACCATACAACCTTGCCTTCCCTGCTCACCGTGGTTCGCAGACTCTGGATTATGTAGATCTGATATAGTGGTAGCCCTAAGGCTACGGTCTGGGCACATTCCACTGAACAATTTCGCTTTTATGATGGGCAAAACCCAGTCACCAAACTGCACTGAGTGTGGAGCGGTTGAAGATGTGTACCATGTGATGGTGGAGTGTGCCCGGAACGAGGCCGAAAGGGTCAGCTTTAGGCTCAAATTTGATATAGACCTGCGAGAAGTGGGAGTATGCAATAGGATTTTAGCCTACCCCATGTCGGAGGAGGCTCAGGCTATTTATAAATTAGTAAATTTAGCATTTAAGCGTAGATAGTAAGTTTCTTTTTGTGAGGCCAATGAAGGTGGCATGATCATGTCTGATCAAACCTTCTTTAAAAATAAAGAATAAAAAAAAAAAAAAAAAAAAAAAAAAAAACTTATGAAACGTGCCGCAATAATAGAGAACGAATATTAAGGAAAATGTAGAAGTTATTTCTCGAATGGCAAGGAAGCGATTTTTGGTGGTGTGAAATGACGTTTGATTATCAGTTTTATTGCATAAATATATGAATTTTGATCGTATTATGGATATAATCGAAGCATATCGTACACGTAATATCTTAAAGTAGTCGGTAGATAGGAGTATGACATAACATGAAATGTTTTTCAAAGTTTCAATGAAATACGGTAGTTTCCAACTTTTAGACAAATTCAATACTTTTTCTGAAAAGTCAAAAAACGTCAATTTTCTATAAAATAACACGTTTTACATCAAATAGCGCCTATTTCTTTTTAATTGTCTAAAAAAATAAATATTAAACATCGAAAAATTTAATTTGAAAAATTGAATCAAAAAATTTTTTGAATTTCATTAATTAATGTGTGGTTATTTTTATATATTATTATGAGTAGGTTTCCTTTTCAAAAGTATTTTTAGGTACACAAGTAGTAGACAAATTTTTGCATTCAAGATACACATATTTTTATTGTTTATTCCAAACGCACAATTGCTCATAAACAGTTGTGCTGTTTCTGCTGTTTCTTTTGCAATAGTAATGGGAAAAAATGAATCAAATTGAATTCGCAGCAGCCAATTACGGAGCTCGTAGAAGAATAGTTCCGACTCAATAACTGAGGAAATTATTGTTTTCTCTTTGAGTTTGCTGACCCAATGATCTTTTTGTAAATTCAAGTAAGTACTCATTATTGAACGAATTTTTATTTCATATGAATATAATTCTGTTCTTTGGGGCGTTGTTGTTATCGACGTTACTAATATTAACAATGTTATATTGTAATAATATTTTCTTTGAGATTTCAGAATCATAATTATTTCAATAAATTAATCCTAATAAAATTAAAAAGGTACATATAGGTTTTCTAACCCCCCATATATCAGAATATTCTTGTACTTAAAATGCTTCAAAATTGTGGTCAAAGTGTAAACGAAATAAATTGAATGCAAAAAAAATCCAAGACAGTTTTAATTAAATCACTTGTATGCTTTAAACTACCTACATATAAATTTAATACAAAGGCCTATTACCTAAAAAAATTAAGAATTTTAATATTAAAGAATTTTAATACGAAGGCCCGTTACCTATAGTCGTGTGAATTATTCTTCCAGTCTTAATTGTGTGCCAATTCCTCTTAACACAGACGTCACACACCCATCCGAATATAAAGGAGCTTATCCACATGGCAAGGTAAGGAATAGCTGTTAATGTTCCTGTGGCTGCAATGTTGAATTTCAGGACATCGGTCATGTACTTTGGAAGGTCTGTTACCATTGTGTAGTATCCCCAATCGTGACCCACCTGGAAAAAAATAAATAGGTAATTAATTTATATCGTTACTAGCTTCCAACAGCGACATTCTTTGTGTTAATCCGGGGTGTCATGTATTTACATAATAAATTTCAATCAATTCAGTCCATCCACTTTAAATAAAAAACCATTCACCATTGCATTCATACAATCTAATTTATGTGGGTTAAAGATGTAATTTTATAATTACAAATGTCATTTTTTTGTTTGCGTCGGTATTTGTAGAATTAGATAGGGTTGCGGATGCAATCTATAATGTCCCGCGACCCTGGCTTGGGCCAGGAAAAAGATCGAGCTTTTTTTCGCCATTATTCAAGGCTGAAGAAGTAATAATTGAAACAAAGGTTGAGTTGAGCTGAATATGTATATGAAGTACATTCATAAAGTATCAAATGTGTGTGTGTGAGCAAGAAAATAAAGACTTTTTCAACTTTTGACTTTTTCTTTCTCTAATCTCACGGGAATTAGGCATGTAATGACACCTATAATCCAAATGTGACTTTTTCATTACTCACAAGTGAGTAATAGAGATTTTTTAAATTATTGGTTGAGTTACTCTTCCACTTGCGCTAAATGCTATTCGTGAAAAGCCAAAAAAAAGAAATATATTTTTTAGTCCATGGCCGATGCGCGCGGAAAACTGATAATATTTTTTCCCGCAATTACGAAACATTTTTAACATTTTTCACAACTGGTCTCGTTTTCTCTTTTGAAGTATGGTGAAAAACGTCGTATGATACATATGTGTATTGATGATTAGTGTCCTCGGCTCCCTAAAACTCAATTCTCCTCTTTGGTAATCAGCAACAATACACACTTGCACCAAAATGTACTGTTTCATGTCAGTGTTATTTTTTTATTAACCTTATAACTTAGTTGATTGTACCGTACAGTTAAACAATGTAAGGCCTTTTAATAATACAATATCAAACAAATCACAATAGACTAGATTCCGAGCTAAAATATATCTAAAGATAATGAAGACAGAAAGTCTACGTAACTATAGAAGCATCCACATCTTCTTCACAACAGTTGGTCCAATTAATTTTCTCTGTGAGAATAAGCAAGCGAGCCATTATTACGTAAACCTTTTATTATTTATCCAATTAGCAGAATTATGTGAAAGTGCTTTGTTCGTAAGTCCTCGTGCGCGAGGCCGGTGAGTGTTTATAGTTTTAATAAACAAATAGATACTGTTATACATTAATATGGTTTTAATTATGTTTTCTTAGTTATAATAACGGTAGCTATATTTTTGAGATAATCAGCTCTGCCTGTGAACCTTTACTACGGTTCAGAACTCCTCTGGAGTTATGAGTACGTTGCTAGTCGTTTGCGGTTATAGATTTGAGGATAAGGTTATTTGGCAGATTGGGCATGGTATTCAGCTAACCTCACTCACATGAAAAACAAAAGGCCAGTGCTGTTTTACGCGTTTTTTCTATGGGATAGTACTAGTCCGGTTGAGCTAGCCCATTCATGTCAAAGCATGAATCTTCCATAGAACAGAACTGAGTGATAACGTGCAAATAATTATATATTTAATCTTCAAACTTAATTTTTATGGGTAAGACTTATTAGGTGTTTTATTTGGTCAACTGCTCACAAATCTTCTGGAATTATATATCTTTCCTACACTAGTAACTATAGAAAAAACTTAAATCCAATTAATTTACGCCTATATAACATCACGTAGGTACCAAAAACTTTTGTGTATAGATAAAAACCAATTTTGTGAAGACAGGTGACACCACCCTATTATACATGGTTCACCCTTTCGAGGTCATAGAGGGCAGATAGCAGTTGATCCATATAAATACTGACATTCAGTGCCAACAATGACCTTCAATCAGTCACCATGGAAAATGCCAACAAAAACAATAGGGTTAAAGCAATAATCATATTGACGTCAAGTATTAAACTGTAAGAAACTGTTTATAAGTCATAATTAAAGTAATAAATATTGTATTACTATTTGATAGTAGAATAAATGAAAAGGAAAATTAATTAATTCTTCAGTTTTTATAGCAAATAGAATATCAATAAAAACAGAACGACTCCCTAACAACTTGTTTATCGTTTTAATTAGTGTTAAATGGATTGTAATGGAAAAATAAGTTTATAAAATATGTATTTTTTATTTGAGTATATTATAATTACGGGAAATATATCCAAAAAGTATCTACCGTGTTTATTATTAAATCCGATTATCAACACGAAATAAGATACCATCGCTATAACCTTTATCACCGAAACTTAAATTGTGTTAAAAAATGTTGTGTAAAGTCAGTATGATTACTGACATACTGGAATAGCCACCTTTGGAATTTCTAGGCGATCCTTTCTTCTCTTTTCTTGATCTTCTTCAAACAGGGCAGATAGTTGGCAACAAAACGAACTCTTTATAAATACTTACAGCAGCAAACAGCAGTGCCCATACAGGCACACTGCGCACGATAGCCTTCCAAGGCACAGGATCCCGTACACTCTGCGTATCAGCGCTGGTCACAGTCTCATTCAGGTACTTCAGCTCTTCCTCCGAAATGTAGGGATGCGTGTTAGGAGTACTGTAGCATAGGATGCTCTGGAAATTAAAAGGTGGAATTCAAAAATAAAGTGATTTTTTAACGACTTTAGTTTTTGCGGGCATTTATACTGAAACAATGAAACAATGAAAGGCGCACTAGAATTTATTCCTTTCTTCTGTGTGCGTTTACGAAGACATATCAATTGAATTTCAGATACATATCATAACCAGACCCGGAACAACATGCAACAAACTGTGGATCACACAAAGAGTTGTTGCATGCGGGAATGGAACCCGCGACATATTTCACGACAGGCACTAGCCAACCACGTCAATGGTTCATTTAGTGGTTAATTAAATCTTTCAAAGATATTTTGGTATCAAATTGCGCATAGTGTGTCTTTTAGTCGGTAAATCTGAATTAGAATGTAAAAAAATCGTTTTAACGTAAAGCGAGCAATTGTTAATTCGCTTTATCTAAATACTGTCTACATAAGTGTTGTGGTTCATAGGAACTCAAGGCATTTTAAGGCGATAATAAAACTTGGATCTAAAGGACGATCATTGATGTCGAAAAGCATAGGTAATCATTTTAGAACAAATGCAATAAATATTCAAATCAAGTACTTAATTACCATCCCACAGATCTAGTTCCTACACTTATACTATTATTTATTTATAGCTATTTTACGACTAAATAATTCATAATTGCAAAAAAACACAATGACTACCTTCTGGCAGTCATATTTGCACTTGAAATGTCATGTAATAGGTACTTAGGTTCTAAACCTAGTTAGGTAGGTACTTGCTAGAGTAACTGTTCAAGCGTAACAATGTACAACGTACAGCCGGAGAAGGAACGTGGTGATTTTTAATCAATGAGAATCTGACTTCGCTCCACCCAAAGAGTCCACAACTAGTAGGTTATAACCGAAAAAATGCAATTCTAACACACACATTTCTAAGTTCCTTAATACCTGAGTATAATATAGATATTTATTATTACTTACCCAAGCCAAAAACCACAGTATTCCAAAGCATCCGAAGAAGTAGAACACATTAGACCAGTCCCCATCTCCGGCCATAAGGAAGCCAGACATGAAGGACCCGAAGATGTTACCGATTTGGGCTCCTCCGAAGACCAAAGCACCTTGTCTTGAACGCTCATGAGGTGGAACCCATCTGGCTAGGACGATCATCAATGCAGGCATTGTGGGACCCTGAAATATGCAAAAAATGCAAATAAATATTTCTCTTTGTATTTTTTTTTATTTATTGACTTTTTGGTTATATGCCAGTAAGTTATTAAAATAAAGATTTGTAATTGCAAGTTTGGAAAAAAAACAGATAGTAACATCTTAAGCGATAATATAAGTATGAATTTTAGACTAATTTAAGTCTATTAATCGGCATTATTTAAGTGCGCCGAAGAATGGGAATCGGACGTATTGTGTACGCCTAAAATTATGCGAAAGTTAATTGTATATTGTTTATCGGAATTGAAATAGTTTGAGGATAAAATAAACCGATTAAAATTGCAGTTGGCACAAAAAAGGGACAGTTTATAACCATCGAATAAATTGCAATATCGACAAAAAATGGTTCGCAATTTTTCGAACTCATATTTCACATCGTAGCGCGTAGTGGTAAAATGATCCCATGTGATCTATGCCGTTATTTTCTACGTGTTTTATTTTTAAAATTAGAACTGTATCTAGTTTATGGTTTCTGCTATTTAACTAGAAATAGGATATTGATGAAAATAAAGAAATATTAATTGAGAATATTAACATTTGTTGCGATTAAAAAAACACTCTTAGACAAACATAAACAATTTAAACATTCAAAAATAACTTAAAGACGCGCAAAGTAAAAGTACACGCAACACAGATCTTTATTAATAACAACATACGATACTTAATTAACTACGTATTTCGATAATTATCTTTGTTCTATATACATTCTAACAAAAATGACAATAAAAGTGCAACGGAATCCTTGAATTGCATTCGTGAGAGGGAAGGAGACACGCTAAGAGCAAGGTTGTGGCTGCATTTGCACGATTTAACGGCCAATCAGTCACTTGTCAATGAATTTTAATAACAGTAATCCGCAATTCCTGGTACACGATTTTAGATTGATACGAAACAAAAGACGATATTATTTGTATTTGAATATTTAAACTGCATTATGATTATTATTTTCGATCCGACAACATCACCACCTCATCACATTATTAACTTATGAGTCCCTACATCTGAGCAAAAGGCCTTTTTTCACACAAAGACGGTTTGAAAATTAATCACAACGTTCTCTTATGATGGATCTGTCGTGTCGATTTCAATCGAATAAATTCTAAGTGCAGATTTCCTTGCAACATTTTCCTTCACAGTTTGTCAGTTGTGACCAAATTATCATAAAAAGTAGATATTACTCGCAAAAAGTGACATTGGTACTTGACAGGATTCGAAAAGTGATTTATGAGAAGCGCGCGCCTTAATCTCTGGACCACCAAAACATGACAACATAATATAGATTCTACTAACTTTTAGCCGCGACTTTGTTCGCATGGAATTGTGACTGCAGATTTTTGGATTAAAAACTATCCTATGTTCTATCTCGAGTTCCAAACTATATCTGTACCTAATTTCAGACAAATAGGTTCAGTAGTTTAGGCGTGAAGAAAAGACAGACAGACAGAGTTACTTTTCCATGTATAATATTAGTTTGGATTATTAAATGAAACATAATTCAGGAACAACGGGACCCCGAAAAATTCTTATTTAAAATATTGTGGAATTTGATTGTTCTGTGTACAATAATTACGGGTTTAAAACTGTAGACTGAGTTAATACTAAAAAATAACTGGCTGCAATAAATCTGTCATAATTGTGTATTGTTCGTTGCGTCATTATTTTAGCGTCACAGTTATTCTTTGTTTATAAATGTTAATAAAAATATTCCCATAAAAGACGTTTTCTAATGTCAGTACACGTTTTACCTAATCTTGTTCATTTGCAAACAATAAAATTACTACTGTAATCGCATGGTTGGTTTCAAATTGAGATAATGAATAGCTACATATACATTTATGTAGGTATGTATGTTATAGCTGGAATGCGGATAATAATAATGGCTGTCCTGAAATTTTAGTAGTGGATACCAAGTTTCTCTTTTAGTTTTGTTATTAATTTTGTTTAGATTTATTAAATAAGTGTATAATAATAATAAATAAGTTGGATTTTAAGATTTTTATAGATACTGGCCGTTTAGCTATATTCGTTAGCTTATCCGAGTAGTCATAACATAATTTTTATAATTAAATTTCAGTGTTTGTCACAAATGACTTTAATCATTTATGCCGTTTATTATTATGGCGTCGTCATTTGAGATTTGGCTTTAACCATTTTGAATTGAAGTCGCCAGTTTATGTGTAATTTTTTATTGATTTATTTGTCCATGATTTATATAAAGATACTAGCGGCCCGCCCCCGCTTCGCACGGGTCCAACTATCTCGCTATCAAAGTGTCACTTTTTCCTAATCCCTCTACTTTTCTCATATTTTCTTTGATAAGAACCTTCTCCTGACAATAACAAACACAAAAAAAAAAGAATTAGCAAAATTGCTCCAGGAGTTGTTAAGTTATGCGCTTATCAACACATTTTGCGATCCATTTTTATATATAAGATTATTAAGATTTTATAAAAAAAATGTGTTAAGACATGATTTATAGAAATCCTTTTTTATCATATTTACGACTTTATTTACAATCTACATCGTACAATCGAACAAATAACTAGATTTCCCACAGCATATAATATAATTGATTTCTCTAGGTACTTGATAAATATGTGTATAAAAAGTGAGGATGGCATTCATTTTTAGTATGGCTGACTCATATACATCTACATTTCAAAATAGTTGTTTTATAAGGATATAAAATCCTCCTTGGTGTTTTAATAAAAAAAAAATTACAATGTTTACGTTTAATACTTTGGAAGCATCTTTGCCTCTTTAAAGTATAATTGTTAAAAAAACTATGCGAGAAACACATCGATACGATAATAAAAACTTCCCATAACGGTATTAAATAAAAGTAAGTTAATCAACTTACAAAACTGCAACGTCAATCGCAAAAATATTTTTTTGATTTTTATATTTACAACTAGCGACCCGTCATGGCTTCACATGGGTGCAATAATACAGACATTAAAGTCCTCCGTTAAAGGATGTTATTATACATGTAAAACTTCATTTTAAAATCACTCTATCTATTTAAAACAGCTGTATCAAAACCCGTTCTGTAGTTTTAAAGATTTAAGCATACCTAGGGATATAGGCCGGGGTGTCGATGTAAGCGGAGTGAGGCACCGCGGCCTCGGCCCATAGCAGGAGAAGGAACGGGGGAAGGGAGGTTTAGTAAGTAACAGTCTGACACACCCACCCTACCCTGGGCAGTCATTCGATGACAGATATAGGGACAGAGAGCCATGTATTTAAGTCTGGGAGAGCCATGCTTCGGCACGAATGGGTCGGCTCGACCGGAGTGATACCACGGCCTCACAGAAAACTGGCGTGAAACAACCACAGTGTTTCAACCACAGTGTTTCGCCGTGTGAGTGAGGTTACCGGAGGCCCAATCCTTCCCCTCCCCCAATCCCTCCTCAATCCCTAATCCCTAAAAGTACTCGTAACTACTCCGTTGCGAGTGTCCATGGGCGGCGCTGATTGCTTACCATCAGGTAATCCGTCTGCTCGTTTGCCGACCTAAAAAAAACAGAGAGAGCTACTTTTTTGGACTATGTAGTGATTCATTCTCAATTTACAGAAGACACTCACCTCACCCATTCCTTGCAATACTCGAAGAATGAAGAGCCACGTCGCTCCCCCGGCTTTGACAACCACAGGAGTCAGCAGAGTAAAGATGGCGGTACTTAAAAGACCGATTCCCAAGGTCCATTTTCCTCCATACCGTTCAGCCAAGTAGCCTCCAGGTACATGGGTGATAGCATACCCATAGTAGAATCCACTGAGGATCAATCCTTGGGTTGATTCTGACCAGTCGAATATCGCGTACTGAAATAAGAAGAAAATTTTTAAAATAAAATTCACTATTAGTTGAATTCTAGATTAATTTTAAATTTTTAAAATTTATTTTTCTACAATTAATCTTTATTGCCACATTTCGTAACGTTTATGTCACATTTTTTTTTTGTTTAATGTCATAGCTTCTTATTTCTTTTAATTGACTTCTTAAATCAAAATTTAAATACCTACATTGCGAAAAATTTTGTGTAAGTAATATAACAAAAATAGTGCAAAAGGTCAAAACAATGTCAATGTCATTAGATGGTACCAAATATTTATAAAAAGAGTGTTTAAACAATATAAATCTTAGTGCACAACTTTAAGATTTAGGTATAAATAATTGTTTACATCATGCACATGAAATGATTGAAAAAAGTATTTAGGTATATAAGAGGTTTCACTATAAGCGTGTCTGTCTGTCTGTCCTCTAGTGAAGCTATTTAATTTTGCTTATTCCAAAGTGCAGATTCCGAGCAAGCAAGATACTCCGACTCCATGGATCCGTTGGTTTATTTTCCGACAAAAATGTTTACAAATAAATATATCCTTATTCTGGTATTTTTTGTTGTATATTGTTGCTATTCCGTGACAATTGCAATGTTTACCTAAATGACCAATTGGCCATTGAATTGAATTGCTACGATTTGGCCTAGTATTCAAGGCGATTGGGTTATTAATATTTTTTGTTTACTTTAAAGAAAATTAATTAAAACAATTGAATAAATGGATCTAATATAGTGGAATGTTCAAAGTGGAATATTTTATTTAAGTACCTATATTTAGTAGTCCACATCCCTACAGACACTTTTGAAAATATATTGGCTTAAAATACATACACAAAATATTGATTTAGTTCGTAGAAACATTAAATGTGGGAGAGCTATGCTTCGGCACAAATAAGTCAGCTCCACTGGACTGATACCACGGCCTCACAGAAAACCGGCGTTAAACAACCACAATGTTATGTTTGGCCCTATGAGTGAGGTTACTGGATGCCCGATTCCTCCCATTTATATAAGTGATTTTGACCCCATAAGTGATTTTGACCTTGACTTTGATAATTTAAATTTAGTCATATTAATTTAATACTTAAATGTGTCCTCGTATCATCATGTTTAAATAAAGACGATTTCTAAATTGCAAGTTTGCCTGTTTATTTATTTTTTAAATTGGTTGAGGAAAATCCACGCTGAATTCTCGGAATTGCACCTCACTGGAAAAATCAACGTTGGTACTGAAAATTAAATAGCAATTCCGCTCCAGCTACCTTTTAACATCGCTACCTACGAATTACGTTTGCGTATTAAAAAAATAAAAGATTTTATTTAAAGTACATTTTTTTAAATTTAATGTTTAAATTACCGTGACTTCCTGCAGATTTTTGGTATAGAAACCATCCTATCGAGTTCCAAACTATGTCTGTAGGTACCAAATTTCACAGAAATCGGTTTAGTAGTTTAGGCGTGAAGAAAAAAAAGACATGCAGACAGAGTTAGTTTTGCATTTATAATATTTGAGATTTATTTTATCAGTTGTTTTGTAATATAATTTAGCAACTCGTACTTAGTTACTATAAGTGACAATTAATGATAAAATAGGTACAGACAAGAATTAATGAGGACTTATGCTTTTGTTGTTGACTCCTTTTACAAACATTCCACAAAGCGATAAGAGAAAGTGGAAGATTATTTGATTGTCAATAATAAAGATTTCTAAGTAAATTAATATTTTAAACGTGATGATTCGAAACACAATACAAGAACAATAGGTGCAAGAACGGCGGCGTTCGCTTGGGATTTGATGAATAATTACATAACAGAAAATAGTATGGAATGAGTTTTTAAAGGGTTTGTTCTTTCTTTTTCAACAAATGGATTGCTGCATTGTTGCCACCAAAGGATACAATAATGTGTATCAAATAATGAAATAGTGAGCTTGTTCATAAAAGAAATATTATTTAAAAGACTATTACGATGGTGTTTCTAGCTTCACTGACTATATATTCTATTTTGACTTTTCAAAAATGCCTATTTAAATAAATAAATATTTTCTATTTAGAATAATTGTTTGTGTCTTTGACTAGATGTTTAAATACCAAACGGGCTATACTAACATTTTTATTTTATAATGACGTCCTGAGTCGAATATATATTTTTATAGGACAAGGAAGCTAACAAACTAACGGATCACCTGATGTTGAGCAATCGACTCGCCCATAGACACTTATTATACCAAGAAGGTGGATTGGGCCTCCAATAACTTCATTAAAAAAATTAAACACAACACTACTTCTATGTAGTTTCGTTTGTGTGATCATTAATTTAATTTAAATAATTAAAAATAATATATTACACACTCACCGGTCTAGAACTAACAGTTCCATTCGTGAAGTATTCACTGTCATCAGGACAAGCGTTGGGGTCAAAATGTTGCTCTTCATCTCCCTTCGTGTTGTTGACCATCTGAGTGACCGCCAGGTTGAGACAAACGCGCATTGTATACGCGTTGCAAACGGCCAGTAGACCCATTATGCCCAGGACGTACCGCTGAGGAATTAGGAACACTGAGCGGACAAAACGAACTCATTTAGTTAGATTTTAATTATAAGTAGCATGTTATATTGTAACTTATGTTTCTAGTTATATGGTATCAAATCTTTTGATAGTAAAATAAAAAAATACGGTGTCTTATAATCTTACACAATGAAACAATGAATTTATTTTTGCAAGTAGGCCATGAAACAGCACTTTTACACGTCAAAATTATGTTCAAGTATATAAAAAACCAGATAACGCCGAGAAAGTTTAGGTTGACTGTGATCAAAGACTCTTACTCATATTTGAATAAAAAATAAAATAAAAAAAGAATGCTCACTCTTTTGTTTCATTTTAAATTTATTTATTCGACTCTAAACTCCACAAGTGAATAGGACCACACCAGAAATAAAATAATTGCTACTAATTTAGGTAAACTTAAATAAGTTGAGAACAATTCATCCAAACATTCTTGTTAAAACAAAGCGTCTTATACGGTTCAATAGGGTGAAATATCGTATTGTTCGCGTTTCCAATAAATTCCACACGCTAGGAGGTTCTCGCTTCTATTTCCCCAGACTCTTTAGTACGTTTTTCGCACATATATCTGAACTAAACGATGTGAGTATAGAACAAGGATATATGTTCCTAATATTAAATTGAATAACACACAATATTCATTTTAATCTTGCAATGAAATGAAGTTTGCTTTTGTTATTTTAAAATCCCCAATTATTGAAACTTGCCAGTATTTCATGGTAAAATTCAGAACAGTTCTGTTGTCGAAGTTGAAAATTCTTAGGATTTACTGGCAAAAAAATCCAGGTCAACCAACAAACGGACATTAACATAATTTATCCTTAGTTCTTGGGTGGATTTACATTATTTACTTAGTACCTACTTAATTCAAGCGTTATATTTTTTATAATTATATTATTTTTCTGGACTTGAAAAGAGTCGGACCTTTGAGTTTGTTTCGGCATTTCTTCTCAGAGTAGTCAAATAGGAAACGCCAGCTTCATCTAGTTTTTCACATATAAATTGTCGTGTAAAAGTGCTGCTTTTTATGGCCTATATACAAAAAAATAAATTCATTGTTTCATTGTATGGTTTTCTTTATATTTTACACAGTTTTTTTTGTTATACCTGTCCACTTATGTGAATAATCAAATTGAGAATCTTATTCATTTAAATATGAATTATAATAATTTGAACATAAATTAATGCATATTCGATGTTCATCCTGCTGAAAGTTGATTAGAACAGACTTTATTATTGTCAGTTCCGTTTGACAAATTCTCAGAATCTATCTTCGTGTCAGACAAGTAAAATAATCAAAAACTAAGGTACTAATAAATGTACAGGCGTCTCAAATGAAATAACAGGCACATTTCATTGCAATGGATCAAATTTTTGATTTATAGGTATTTGCATACCATAAAATACTCTTACATATTTATTTGCGATATTAATTATTGATAATAATATTGTAAAACCAATAACGCATGTAGGATTGCCTGTAAGTAATTGTTACACTTACAAATGCACATTGTAATCTTTAAATAAAATTTAAACAGTCGTAGGCTGATCATAAATAGATAGATAAATGATCGGCCTTTTTTGTATTATGCCTATATCGATAAAAAACTTAATATTCGTAATGAAAAGTACTTACGCCTCGCTATGTTTTTTCTCCATCTTGGTAACATTGCGTCGAATTTTCTTATTTCCCGTTACTATTTTATCACCTGAAACGAAAAGAAAGACAAGATGAACTAACTGACTGATCTTGGGTAACGTTTCATCCAAATATTTATCTGTGCGATGTCAAAATAAATAAGATATAAAATCTTTATATGAATATTATCTGAAGAGGATAAACGTGAATTACATGGCACTAGCTGATGACCGTGACTTTAATCACATGGAACTTTTAAGGTAAATGTGTATGTATGTACTGGTATAAAAGAGAGTTGTTAGAATATTATTATTTTCCCGGATTAAAGTTTTTTTTTTATATAATGCTAGTTTACTATTAATATACCTACATTTCTGCCTCACCCAAGGCTCGAGTGGTAGAAAATCCCTTGCATGAATTCCGCCTATTTATACTGTGACTGTGCATGAAGTATAAATAAATAAAAAAGATGATTGAGCAACTTGATTCACTTGATTCAAAAGCTAAGTTTTATTATTTGGCTTTATTTTAATAATACTTTCGTTGTGAAATAGAAAATATTGTAAGTATAAAAAAGACAAATAGACTACAAAAAGAAATTAAAAAAAAAACTTGAACCTATATAGTTATGGTAGCATAGTTTTATTTAAACATTTGTTTCGAAAAAAATCATAGTAACCAAATGAAGGATTCTAATTAATACATGCACATGACTGAACGGTTGGTGCGGTGACTGGGCAACAACGCATCGTAAGTTCGATTTCTGCACGTGAAAATAATAAATAATCTTTATTGTACATCAAAAGAGTTTGTGTGATGCGTATACAAAAAAAATTAAAAATTTACAGGGTGCAAAAGACTTATTGCTAAAAGTGATATCGAAACTCTTTTTACATACTGGGTGGCCACATCCACGATACAGTAGGAAATCGTACGGAAACTTTGTAACCAAATTATTTTATTGTAAAAAAATATGATCATCAGCCTATATGTGACCCAATGCGGGTTGGCGATTTCAAACTTATAATAAGAAATTCTAAGTCCAGGTCTCCCCACGATGTTTACCTTCACCAGTCAGTGGTGTTTAAATAATCATAGAAAGTACTTATAACTCGGAAAAAGTCACATTGGTACTTGCCAGGTTTCGAATGAGTACGAGAGAAGCGGGCTCCTTAACCTCCGGGCCACCACGACATTATTATTATTTGTAAAAAATATTTATATCATATTTATCTAGGTATAGTTATTGCATAGATACAGATTTCTGAAATGATAACTATGAGGTTTTAATCAGATCATAATATCTTGATATGGTAATACATATTATTATGGTAGTACATGTAGGTACATACGTGAACATCGCTGTATTCTTGTTGCATGTTCTATTGGCTTTGTGCAAAACGAGTAGTGGCGGACAGAAAACGACCGCAGCGCACAACACGGCAGAAATTGGAAACATAATTATGCGGACGATCAGCTGTCGGTTTTTATTATTACATTAATTTTACAGTAAAACTATTGGATTAATTGCTCTTAAATAATGTCAACAATGCTATTTTAATCTTTGGTTTTATTTATATTTCCAAAGAAAATTATAATGTTTACATTGTTATTATTTGACAGCTTCCGCAAATTAATATTGTAAACGCTACGCGTCGCCACCGTCGCGCACATAGCCAATAGTAACATAGTAGAACTGAATCACATATCTACATTAATTCAAAATATGACAAGTTTTTATTATAAGATTTGTAAGATATATGAGCCAATTGCATTTGTATATGTATAGACTAGCTAACTATTTTTTACTGCACTATAAGTAATATATAATTTTGATATACCTATTTATTCAATAGTTTCAGCTTAAATTGTAACATAATTATATTAAGTTTTGTTACATTAATTTCTTACACCATAAAATTTCTTGTAAGTCATTGTGCCGGATCTAAATAAATTAGTACACACTCAATATTAAAGGCACTCTAGTTTAATTTAATCACATAATATTGTACAATAGATCTTGCAACAATAAAAATACCTATTACGTTACCTTCGAATATTCAAACAGTTCAATAGACAATCAGGTCATTTTTTTAACTCCTATTCTCTACCATTAACAGCCTCTTTAGTTGAGCAAGTGATCGAATATATTTATAACGTAAGTTCTCAGATTATTAAAAATAACAGAGTAGTACAAATTCAATATTTATTTTGAATTGTGAAATAGTACGGGTCTGTGTGTATACGGTGACGTCACGTTTTTTTCTATCGAATAGATTTTTTTTTTCATATTAAGTAGCTTGGTAAACGAGGAGACAGATGGCCTGGTGGTAAGTGAGAGGCGCCATTAATATAAACACGCAACATAAAAAGTTATTAGTGCGTTTTTCGGCCTTTGAGGGTTAGAAATGGATTATAGATACAGTGAACTGCAATATTTTTTTACACAGCGTTGTTTTACGTAGTTTTCTCGTGACGTTATTATTCCAGATTCATACAAATTACTCACAACTGCATAAAAAAATTATACATTTAACACAAAAAGCACAAAACAATCATAAAATAAAATCATCTAAAAATAAATCTAAAACTACTTGGCAAATAATCAACCGTGCAAAATTTAATCTACCTAAATCTAATATCAATAAAATTAAACTAAAAAGCCGTACACTGACAGATCCCAATGACATAGCTGAAGGGTTCAACAACTTCTTCATTGATAAAGTACAGGGAAAGCTTCGGGTTAATTGCAAACCAAAATATTGTAAAATTAACACAAATAGTAAATCAATGTTCATGGCTCCCAGTGTACCACAAGACATTCATAAAATAATAATGTCATTGAAAAATACGAATAGTGTAGGGTATGATTGCATTACCACCCATATACTTAAAAGTGTATCAATGGAAATATGCAGTCACCTAAGTTATATACTAAATCTTTCAATCAGCACGGGTATCTATCCAGACGCCCTTAAAATATCAATTGTAAAACCACTCTTTAAAAAAGAAAATAGAGAAGAAATGGAAAATTATAGACCTATTTCATTAATACCCGTTTTATCTAAAGTATTCGAAAAATACATCTATAATGAACTCTATAAATTCATAGAAAAGTTTAATATACTATGCGAAGAACAAAAGGGCTTCCGAATACATAAAACAATTAATATGGCCATATACGACTTTCTATACAATGTCCTTAGTAATGTTGACAAACGAAATCCCGTGTGTAGCATATTTTGTGATATGACCCAGGCGTTCGATTATGTACACTATCCCACCTTAATAACAAAATTGGAAGCCTACGGCATTAGAGGCAACGTACTAAACCTTCTCGAATCTTACCTAAAAAACAGATTACAAAAAACTGAAATCAATAAAATCAACATAAATAATAAACGTGAAGAAATATTTAGCTCCACCGAACGTGAAATTTTATTTGGAGTACCGCAGGGGAGCGTATTAGGCCCTTTCATATTTATTTTGTACATAAATGACTTACCGAAATGTATTAAACAACCAGTAACATTGTTTGCAGACGATAGCACAATAACAATACCTTGTGAAAATATAGAAACATATAGAAGTGACATTAATAATAGTTTAGAACAAATTGTGAACTGGTTAGACTCTAATAATTTAAAAATTAATTTGACTAAAACTAAAGCTATACATTTTAGACAGCGTACTCCTAGTATTGATATTAACATTCAGCACGGTAATAATATAATAGAAGAAGTAGTAAATACTAAATTCCTGGGACTCATAATAGATCAAAACCTAAATTGGGAATCGCACATTGACTCTTTATGTAAAAAAATTAGTAAGTCCGCATACGCTTTGCACACACTATCATCAGTAGTATATATAGATGCGCTTCTCACGGCTTATTATGGCCTAGTGGAATCGCACCTACGGTACGGTATTATTTTTTGGGGTAACTCTTCGGGAAGAGAAACAGCATTTAAAGCACAAAAAAGATGTATAAGAGCTATCTTTAAACTGCAAACCACCGAGAGTTGCTTGCCATATTTCAAAAAATATAACATTTTACCCCTACCCTGTCTGTACATACTAGAAGTAGCGTTATTTGTCAAATCAAACCCGACTAAATTTCAACTCCTTTCCGATAACTTCCCACGGAATAGGCGCAACAATAGTTTACTGTGTCTACAAACAGCTAAAACAGCACTTATGCGCAAAAGTGTTTACTGCATGGCGCCGGTTATTTATAACAAAATACCTAAACACTGGAAAGAATTGCCCATATTGCAATTTAAAAAGACGATTCGAAAATTTCTGTTGAATAAAACATATTATAGTATAAGTGATTTTTTGCATGAAAAGGATTTTATTGTATAGAGTAATTGTAATCAGATCGGATTGATAATAATAATTTTGAAATCCTTGTGTATGTAACTACTAAGATACCTGTTATCATTATTAATTTTTAATTTAATTTGTCTATTGTTTTTCTATTACAACTTAATCTTTTTAACTGTTTAATTTAATTTGTTTATAATTTTTCTATTAAAACTTAAATTCTGTGTGTGTTAAAATTTGCATGCCTTCCTGGCAAAGTATGGCTGAACCACGAAAATGTATCTTTATCACCTGTACTGTACCCATATTTGCGAATAAATTTATCTTTATCTTTATCTTTATCTTTATCCAGTAGACCAACTTGTATTCTAAAAATAAACAATAGAAAAAGAAGAATATTTATATGAAAGTAAAATTTATTTATTTATTTATTGTGTGTATATATTTTTTTCACTAAATAGAGTACCACATTTTTAGTGCAAGGAAAATAATGTAGTGCGTATCCAGCTCGGAGTGGTTTTTAGCCAGTAAGAGCCAATAAACGTTATATAATGATATACCTCTCAAAAAAATAGATGCGTATCACTCCCACTGCGGGCAATTAGAGGCGTGACGTTCTTGTTGATTCTTTTAACCACTAACTATAGCTTAAGCTATTGTAGTTTTGCTCGTAAAAATATAATTAACCTGTGTCATCTCAATCATGAAATGTTTTGTGTATTTAAATAAAAATAAAAAGTAATT